CGGACGCGACGCCGCTGCTCTCTCACACGGCTCTCACGGTAGAAGCTACGCCAGACCGAGTCAACATTCCTATCAATTATCCTCCAACTCATTCTGTAAACAATATATTGTTCCTAATACTCTGGCTTTACAAGACTTCTCTCATTTCCTAAGGAATCGGGCCTGGAAGATCGCAGCCGTTAGGATTAAACCTTAGTGGCCTTAACCCATTGCGATAAACTAACCATTAGGGAGCTGCTGCTCAGATCAACCGCAAAAGCGTTAATTTCGGGGGAAAAAAACTCAACATTTATTGGAATAAATGGATGATAGATGTAATATTTTCACCAACCTGAAAGGCGTTTAAGGCCCAGTAGAAGAAGGCTACGTAGCTCAGACTGCTGTACACATATGCGAGGAAAAGTTGAAAGATGACGCTGATGTATGTCGTGATGGCAATGACCAGCCACATTTCATGCCTAAAATCGAACGTCATACACACGTACACATGTTAGCTTGCTACTAACACGTTTAAGTAAGCAAGATATTATTTATTTAGATAAAAACGGTCTGAAACTTACTGCAGTGCTTCCACTATTAATGGCTTCAGATAGGCTGGAGTGTCCACGTTGCAAAGTAGAATAAAACAGCAGACAATAGACAACAGCAGCAAGATAGCCGCCTGGCAAATGTAAACAAACATGCTAGCAGATTCTGGTCCAGGTAGGCATAACCGTCCTAGGCCGTAGTCATCAAACGAGGAAACGCAGTCAATGAAGACTATCACAGGGCCGACTATCCAGCCAATAAAAATGTACAGTTTGATAGTATTGGCCAGTGTTCCATTGATGAGGGCTCCAAAGAGGTAAAAGCACTGACACATATGCCAGGCCAGATAGGCTGAACCGAATAATTGCAGACCAAGGCTGCTAAATAGACAACCAGCCCTGAATTGCTCAAGAAAGGGAATGAACATGAAAATCAGATGGTAGCCTGCCAGAGCCAGTGTGAAATTAATTTTAATTTTATTCTGTCCAACCAGCTCAGGTTCTGTCTCCTTTTTGTAGAGATAAACACAGAGACTGATGAGAGCCAGGAAGGAGAGGCTATTGCCGCCGGCGTTTAAGCAAACCTTGAGCAGATTGAAAACTCGCAGACTGGGGGCGCCGGCGACCCACCAGTAAGAGGCTGGGTGACCTCCAAATTCCGGCGACTCCATTGCTACTGCAAAGATGCCCGCCTGCTTGCAGCGACAGGTCACAGAAGTGAGACTGCCAGTAACTTGTGTACAGACAGAGGGATCCCAGTGATTGTCGGGGGCACCCTTCCAGTGGACACACTGCACGCCAAACTCCATTTCAGAGCTCCCCACCGCGGCAGTCTCTCTGGCTTTCCAGTGCATAGCATCGTTGATTCGAGCAAATGCCACAGCCTTGTATTCGTTTTGTACAATCAGGGGGATAGCTGCCTCATAGTGGACCTCCACGTTTTGCGTGAGACGAGGAGTCAGCGCAGACACACGCTGGATCCCGCTATTGATCGGTAGCAGACCTCCGGTTGGTTTTAAACTGCCATCTCCAGTCTGGTTGTGATCAGCTGCTGTCCAATTGGCTATGCGAGGTAGGGCCAGCAGATCAAGCGTTATATTTGGCAGGACAGCTTCGAACCTGACAAAACTGATAATGACAGCTTCTTCTTCTTCTCCTGCCTTCTTTGGCCATTTACTAGGGATGTCAAGAGGGAAGTTTCCTTTTTCTACGTAGTAGATCTTGAAGTTAGGCATCAGATAACCGCCATCCGTCCAACTGCTCAAGCGCCTGGGCCTCTTAAAAAGACCAAATTTATTTTTCTCAACCTGGGTCAAAACAGAGCAACAGTTCTTCATGCTACTGCTGGCAGTGGTAGCGTTATGCGCGAACACATTCTCCAGAAATCCACCTACGGCCGACAACAGGCCGGACCCTGCCATCGCGGTGACATTTCGCATTTCTGCCAAGGTTTGCGAAAAGGTTACGTTTTGCAAGGCTTGCGCCATCTCCAGCAGAAATTCGCTATCGTCTTCGAACTGGATGATCAAAAAGAGCATCCTTGTGCGGTCGCTGTAGTCCACGCCGGCAAGTCTGCTCAGAAGCGCCGAAGCAGCCCATAGCAGCCTGGTTTCCTCGTTCTTTGTTGGATAGGTGTCTGTACGATCTAACAGGCGTTTGGCCACGCGCAGAAGTTCGATTAGGCCGACAGGGTCGAAGATCAGTCGTCTGCTCTTTGCCATTGAATAAATGTTGGCCTAAACGAAAGCATGGAGTTGCCAGTTAATGATTATACACAGTATGGAATTCATCATGTCAATGGCATATGCGCATTTCTTTGCTACTAACTGCGTGTTAGGACTTGGCCGAAACACGTGTCTGTAGGATATGATGTAGTCCGGCCGGATAATAGAAGATGAACGTACCCCAACGGTTATAAACTAGTAGATAAGATAAGGCGTGGAAGGCCAGAGTGTTATGGATAAGTTAATTAAATGCAGAAGGAGTAGAATGTGAGTAATAGGTAAGTGACTCCCAGGCGAGTGCAGTCCAGCCATGAGCGGGTCGGAGTCCAGAGTCGCATTCCAGCGGGTGTATTTGCAGGGTCCGGATGTCTAAAATCGACCCTAAGGTCGCCGGCTGCGGGAGTCTCTGGCCGTAAGCAATCCCCGTAATAAAGTCCTTTTGTGAACTGACCTTGGGAAATGGTTGGCCGTTTAGGACAGAAAAGTCCATGACCTTGACCGGAGCCTTGACACTGGCTGGTGCGCACTTGCTGGTGGACACGAGAGCCAGACATGCGGGGCATGTCCCAAAGGCGTGCGAGAAAAGCATGGCCTAGAATACGAGGTCGTTACGTCGCCCGCTTAGTCATCCACTGTTGGTCCATGTTCTTCGTCTCACCTCTGCCCACGTGCTTTGTCCCAGGTCCTGACCCCTTAGCCTCGTTGACTGCCTTCCCATTCGGTGACACACTGCGATCTTTATTCCCCTGTCCTTATTCCCCACTACTCCTCACGGTCTTTGCTCTCCTCATCGTGTCCTTATTCGCCCCCTCGTTCTTTAACACCTGCTCCCGTGTGCTTATTCCCTTATAAACTGGTAGCAACGCGTCTGTGTCATTCACGTGACTGCTCATCTAAGCACCTCGAATGTACGTCCACCCTCCTTTTGTTTTTTTACTTCGCATTTTTCTACCTACCGTGCACTGTTAATCTTACCGTTTATTTCTTTGGAAACACACCACACCGCCGAGTAATCCTGACTGTCTTCTGACACATAAAGAATATCCGAATTATAAAGACTGTCTTTTGACATGGCTGCTAACCTAGGGTGCGTCTATTCTGGGGACGAAATTAGCACTGCAGTACGAAAGGCAAGCAGTGTTAACAGTTATTCGCGAAGCTCATCGGCTATTAACACTAATTGTTATCCATACGTAAAATATATATTTAATGAAATTTGACGAAAGTAAAGTTCATTTAATTTAGGTAAAACGGTAAGGTTCCGAATTCACCTGTCAATTATATTTATACTTTTGGTCAAAGTTGTAGCTATTTTCAACGTTTGTGGAACTTGAGACTTCTTTAAAAAGCGTGATATTTCTAAACAAACGAATAGTACAATTTATATGTATTTTAAGCTATAAGCTCGCCTTAGGTTGTATTTAACCACTTGAAAGGTTTCGTACATGCGTTAATGTAAGTTTGGGAGTGATTATCAATCTCTAGCAAATGTCGACCTCTTGCACGCGTTTCAACTCAAACCGTAAGGACATGCAAAAGCCGGCATTCTAGCGTGTTTGACAAATCACGGGATTATGGCGCAGGATGCCGATTATACGAAGGCAGCACCTATACCCTAATAGCATTGCGCGCGTTAGCGTATTACGAAAACACGCACTTCACGCGTGCTTGGTTGTTATTGGCTGGGATAATTACTTAATCGATAACTGATTGGCTGATCGATTTTCGTCAGCGCGCGCGCACTGTGGGCACCCAAGTCACAATATTGTGACATACAGGTTACCTTAAACAGTAAATTGTCTACCTCATGAAAGTTCAACCGAAATACCGAAACGTACATCCGGTTCGAACATTTTACTTAAGTATGGTTGTAATGTTGATTAGTATGCTACTTAATCTCATTATACTTTGGTCACCTCTTGATGCCGACTTTTGAACGAACTTCCCTTTGACCACGAGAAAGAAGTATATTTTGTAAAAACTGGCTACTTACCTCGTATGCGTTCTTCTCTTTGATTTTCAATACGCTTTGAAATTCAAATATACATATTTTGTAGAAGACATGCACAAAAATATCCTTTCTTTTACCAATTTGGTAGCAAATTGTGTATCATTCGGTTTTAACAAAGTTTCTAAATTGCCAAATAATTTTGAACCTTACACTCAAACAGTTACACTAGAATTCAGAGTCTCAAAACTATGTACATGCTGCATACATTCTGTCTGAGGAGATGCAAATCTTTTTCTACGGTGTAAAGAAGAAGTCACATAATTCTTGTGATCACAATGTATAATTTATATGCAGCATTATTCAATGGACAGACGCGTTGTTTAATGAATGCACATTTATGGTCGCAAACATTTCATACACAGTAACCTTTATAAACAAAAAGATACATTTTCTTCCAATATGACAATTTGAGGAAGGCGTGATTTGCTATCAAACGAGGAAAATAAAGAATGCGTTTATACCTGTCTCCGATAAAGTGTATTTTAATTTATAATAGAAGTTAAAATCAAAGAGAAAATGCGTACTGCTTAGCTAGTCAATATTTTACAGAGTATACTTCCTACAGGCAGTTAGGTAGGTGCTCCTTCAAAAGCCGGCATCCTATCATGACAGAAGTATATTGAGATTTTTAGGGGTTTTGCAGATTTCAATAAGTCGAATGACCCAATTTCGGAAAATTCGCGGTCTCGGTGGGAGTCGAAAACACAAAGCAGGGAAGGCTTTTGCGCAGCCAGCGCTCTACTACTGAGCTACGAGGCTCACCGTGAGCCGTGGTTTTAATCCCACTTGGGTCGATTTTCTTGGCCAGCTTTACTGCACGTATCAAATCCACCAATACGAAGGCAGAAAGCTAACTGCCAAACAGGATTTTCTAAGTTATCATCTAGGATCTACCGGATGAACCTCGTAAGCGGGATTAAAATCACGGCTCACGGTGAGCCTCGTAGCTCAATGGTAGAGCGCTGGCTGCGCAA